TGTGTGCCTGGAGCAAGGCAACGAAACTTAAAATAAGAAGCAGCATTTTACGGCGCGCTATGCATGGGGCCGCCTTGGGGGGTTTCCCGACATGTTGAAGGGTGTTTCTTGTTGTCGTTGCTGTGGACCTTCTTAATACCTTGGAAATGCCGTTTAATACTTTTTAATAGCCTTAATTTTCGCAAAATTGATTTATCAACTTTTAATACTTTTTAAGACCCCGCGGACACCCTGTAGCTGTATTAGTTATTGTTAAAAGGAAAGAAGGTCAGTAGAACTAGTTCCCCTCTAAACTGTCTGTGCTTAATGAACACCAGTGGGAGAATAGGAGACAAAGAAATCTAACTATAGCCTACATAAAATGTGTTGTTACTAGTATTGACCACTCCAGCATCCAACCGGACACCACTGACATTTGCAGCAACATTTACATGTCGTTAAATATGCAGCAGCTGATTTATTAGCATGTGTTTTGTTCAATTGCAGGCTCTTGTATTGTGTATTATCCCAGATCAATTGTAATCTAAAAGCATACATTTCTCCCTTTAGGTTCCTATATGTTGTAAAGGCTGATATATAATCAGCCTATAACACCCACTGTAGTAATGCAACAAAAGAGATTGTCAGTAAGTGCTCACCCAGCCCCAGAAGGTTGTGTGTTATTGTGGGAAGAGTATCGAGCTCTGGCCTGGTTCTCGTGCTCCAGCTGCTTGACCTGAGACTCCAGTTTGGAGATGACTCTGAGGGAGACAAGCGGAGATAAGACATGGTCACAAGAATTGAAGATGCAGAAAATTGGGAGTCTTTCTCTAGACTACTTTTTAAAAGGTTATGCTAAAAAAAATCTAATATTTATTATCAATAATAAAATGTTATTTTTGAAACAAAAGATAATTGAAGTGTAGTAACAAATTCATTTTTTAGGTATAAATAGTTCATGGTTTTAAAGCATCCGGAGGTATTCTATTCGTGTCAATTAGACCCCCAAAAAAATATTTCTCCCTTTTCACAGAGGTAATAGGACCAAAAGCCGACCTTTATCCACACTTTGTCTCCTCTGGGTTATCATACATTCTCTCTGCTGTCATGACACGGCTCTAATTTGCGTCTCCAGTGAGAGTCTGACAGGCCTTGGCAACAATCTTCTCCTGCAGCATTTGGCGCTCCATTATGAGACTCCATCAGACCCTGACGCTGGAAATGTTCTCGCATATCTTACTGCTTATTCCATTTTGAGCGCCTAATATCGACTTTGCTTTTTGACTGAAATGCCTGGAAGGATCTTCAGGTCAAAACCCAATTTTATGCGTCTTTTCTGGGATATATCTCGGGATATATCTTGTCTCTAGAGTCGGCTAAATGTAAGAAGTTCTCATTAAAATGCTGTGCTGGTGACACATGTCTTTTGCATTTTATCTTAGATTTCCCTCGCATCCTTGGTACATTTAAAATATATCTTAATTTTCCAGATTTACTCTCATACATATCTCCATCTTTTTTTCTTGGCATTTCCCTCCAGGTTATTACTTTCAGTATTTAAGCCCTCCTATTACACCGTATTGATGTTCTGCAGGCTGTAGCTTGCTATCTGTCCCTGAATCGACTTGACACACTTCATCGATGCAGAGTCCATGGCGCTGCCTCTATTGGTGCCAATTTGCAGGCAGAGCTGAAACTGCGATGGAAAGTTGCTGCGTAGTGTCAGCCGATGCTATTATCTACTTTCGACAGCACAGAGACCATCATTAGACTTTATTGATTCATCCTCTCGATCGCCCGGCGGTCTAACAACCTCCACCGCAGCTCTTTTACAAAACTGCTGGAGCCAGCCAATGACAACGTAATAGACCTGAAACTAATAGCCATACTACAGCTGCCAAGAGATCGCTCTACATGAAGTTCTTTGTTTGTGTTGTTTGTTTGTGTTTTAACATTATTCAAAAACATCACTACATCTGCTCAAGACAAGATGTGTATTATACATTTGGGTAAGTCTTCAATCAGCATTAAAGAGCAACTTTATTTTCCAACTATTCCTTTAAGGTCGTGAGCTTCAGAAAGCTACTACTCAAGTGATACAGTGTTGTGAAGTAGTACAGTGAGGTATTAAAAGCAATAGAAATAAATCTTTATTCTATTTTATATGACTTCTAGTTCTTGTTATTCGGAACCACATTTGAATAGTAGGAGGCTCAATAAATGAAGGGTCTGTTGGGAAAATACTGAATGTACTCTTCTAATATCAGAGTAGCACATGATAACAAAGGCCCAACTGTAGCTGTGTACGTAACAGGATGTATGATTACCTAGAAGAAGAACATGACACACTGTTTTAGGCATTTGATAGCTATGTGACAAAGATGAACTTGATGATTCAGACCCTAGGGGGATAGACATATGACAAGCATGATCATTTCTGACGTGGGCCTTAGCTCACTGAACAAAACATTGAATACTGCTTTGAACTGGTATTCCTGCATCTTGTGACTGTAACACTCCGTCTCTTGTCAATCAGCATGTGAAGGACACTGTTCGGGGAACTAGTTGTCCCATATGCCTGTATGTGATGACAACTTCCATTCTTGCAAGGATAATAAAAACATGTACTCTGATATTGAAGCTCAAGTTGGTGACGAGTGAGATTTTTTGGTCACAAATTGAAACTGTTGGCAAAGAGAGCATCTTGTGACCCTTAATTAATAGAGCAAACTGTTTTTAAACCCCTATAATTTGATCCCTAATACCAAGAGTTTGTCAGAACCAGAAATAATACACAGAACATAACATTAACATTTTAAAATTCATACAACATCTAAATCTAATTTCTTTATAAATGATCCACTCACCTCTTCAGGTCTGATATCTGATCGGTGGCATCGTCAAGTTTGTTCTCCGTTGCCACCAGGTTGCCCTGCAGAGATTGATTGTGATATTGTTTGTCACTGCTGAAATAATGCTTTCAATCAAGATCAAATGATCACAGAGAATGTATATCATCCGCTCCAGATTCGTTACCTTCAGTCCCTCGTGCTCCTTCACCAGCGAGTCATATTGTCCAAGCAGCTGAGAGACCAAATAACAGAAACATAAAGAACATCAGTGAGGATATCAACCTATTCTCTCCTGATATGTTACCTATTCTCAAGTCACTTGAAAGTACTTCCACAACACTTTATTTATATTACAAATAAATCATTACAAATAGTGGCAAGGTTCCAGTGAAAAGACGAACTTCAGATGTTAGCGAACAATAGCATATGAATGATATTTGTCTCTTTCTCTCAGCTCAGACTCACATCCTGCAGCATGTTGGACTCCCTCTCCCTCCTCGCCTCCCTCTCCTCAGCCTCCCTGCAGGTTTTCAGCAGCTTCTCCTCCAGCTGCCGTACGTGGCTCTTCAGACGGGCTGCAGAGGCGTCCTTCTCTTTGCCCGAGCGTTTGCTTTCTTCCATTCGCTGCTGCAAGGACTTCACGGTAGCAGCCGCGACAGCGTATCGCTCCGGCCATTCTGCCTGAAAACAGAAAGTCACATAGAAAATCAAGGAATGGGGTAATGGTTGGATTTTAGTTGAATGCATATGCTTAATATATCAATATTAGACATTGAGATAATTTGGCAGATATTTGTGTAACCAGACATAAAATGAAACTGTATTTGTGTCCAGGTTTGAATAGAGTGCTTAACTTATAAGCTATTAATAATCCATCATCACTGAGCTTTATAGTAGATGACTTAATTAGGGTCCATGCCACTTTCCCCACTTGATTAATTACAGGTTGTTTGCATACTTCAGAGACTTGCGTTTAATGATTTAAAGCCCTTTGAGGCAAATGTAAGAAACAAAACATGTAGGAAAGTTTATTTTGACAAGTGAATCGTTAATTCAGGTTGTGATTAATGAGTACTACATCAATTAAAATCTGACAGGTTTCCTTATTTTTTAATTGTGCTTATGAATGTAAATAAATGCATTAATAGCTTTTAGATCCTAATGACACTGTGAATCTGTCAAGAAAACGGACCATGTGAAGTTGCTCTGGGTTTTAGTCATTTAAATAATAAGATGTCCTTGCTGAAAGCCAGGACACTTTTAAATGAGTTTTTTAATCCCTAAATAGACATCTGAGGATTGTTACCAGCTTCTTCTCCAGCAGGCTGTTTGTTGCCTCGAGTTCTTGAACTCGACTGGTGGCCTCGGCTAGAGCTTTCTCCAGGTGCCTGCATCTGTCGATAAACAGAAAATCACAATAGCACAGAGTTTACAAATAAATGAGGTATAATGTGATGCTGGGGAAATGTGGGACCCTTCATGTGTGTGTCTTGAAATCTAATAACCTTGATTATGAGTTATTTGCATCATACAAATGAATCAGCACTAAGAAGATTTAATGTAAAATTGCATGTGGCATTTCTTCCTTTATATTCCACATGATTCAAATGTTACTTTCAGGAATGTTCATGAATGCATCATATCAAATGAAATGAATCAATGCACACCTCTCTGTGAGGGCCTGGTTGCTCCTCTCTAAATCCTGGGGCAGATCTCTGAGTTTCAGTTTGTCTCGCAGGATTTGAATCTCAGACTCGTAATACGCCTTCAGATCAGCCACGTGTCGAGAGTGCTTCTCTCTCAGGTTCTGCCGCAGTCTGGGGAGAAAAAAAGAAAAGAGAAGAAGATGAATGAACCCGTTGAGAGTCGATAGCTTCATTTGGACTCAAGGACATGAGTAATTAGGATGCTCACTACTTCTTTTAATGAACAAAACTAAACATTTCTCAAGCCTTGCAGGGCCAGGCTAATGCTTTTTTCTTTTATGTCCTTTCTCAGAACAGGTTACTTTTTAACTTTGTAAATGTTTTTTGACAAGGGCTCAAGGAAGGTAGTTATTGGATATCAAGCATGTGAACATCCCAGAAGAGCAGCAACTGTTTGTCGACTCATTGATTATCAAATCCAGGGGGAAATGTATTACAAGGTATTTTATAATAATCATAATATATTATTGTTGAAGGAATATTTAGTGCAAACATTGCATAAAGTTACATTTTAAGGCTCTCAAAAATAGATTTGATTTCCAGATTTGTTCTTTTATTTTATATCAGGACTGAAAAATGATACTTAAAAAGACATCACCTTAACTTTGAGAAAAGTGGGATGGACATTTATCCTTATTTAATAGACCGAAACAATGAATCCAGAACAATTATTAACAGCTTATTCGTTATGAAACAATGGTTAGTTGCAGCTCTACATCCCAGTATGAACAAACACTGCAGCCTGTTGTTGCAGCACTCACAGAGAAAGGACGACAGGATCCTCCAGTGATGAAGCTCTCTCCATGTGTTGAGGCCGCAGAGAAGCACCGGCGGCAGAACGATGCTTCAGGGTGCTGGTGTGGGTGTTACTACCCTCCTCCTCGCTGGCTAAGGGGGCGCTGGTCCTGCACTGCTGGCTGGATGTGTGTGAGCAGGGCTGGGTCTGATCCTGGGAGGGGAACAGGACGGCCTGGGAAACGTTTCCCCACGGGTTCTGCTGATGAGAGGGGGAAGGCCCGGCAGCTGAAACACTGGAGGTGTCAGAGATGCAGTCTGTGTCTCCAGGGTTGGGACTGCCCACCACCATGCTGTCGGGGGTTACAGGGGTTCCTACTCTGGGGTACACGTGGGGCTGAGCGGCAAAGGAAGGGCTGCTGAAGTGAGAGGGCGAAGTGAAGCCAGATGTACGATCTGACTGCCGCTGGTTAGCAGCTGGGTCCAACACCTAAAGCAACAAAGTGTGGGTTAGTTAGAGACACAGTCAAGGAGTTTACTGATCACTGAAGCTGTGAGACGTACCTGTGGTGACGAAGGACTGGATGTTACAGAGCCTTCCCAGTCTGAACGTTTACCGTCTGTTCTTTGCTTGTTGTTATAGATCTCTTTGAGGGACAGACGAGGCTCCTGAGATGGGGTCTACAAGAAGAAATCAGATTTAAGGGGAGAGGCATAGCAAACCAGCAGCTAGGTACTCAAAACCTTTACATATTGACCAAAATGTCAAATTACGAAAAGGTATTGTACCTCTAATGTGTGTTTATACCTAGAAGAAAATCGCTATATCATTGGTTTGCCTATCACCACCAGCGTTTTTCGTTAAATGCAACATATGATTGGCCCAATTTACTACTCATAACACGACCCTTAATCAGACATGCACGTGTGCCCTGGGGCCTCATTTATAAACGCACGCTCAACAGATGGCGTACGCCAGTTTCTAAGCAATCTTTGCGATTTATAAAAAACAAACTTGATGGGAAAATGTGCCTCCATCCACACTCTGACCCATCCGTACGCGGTACGCACAAAAACTGCAACACCGTTGGCAGAAGGAAGAATGGAGAGAAATATGTGGAAATAATACCATAAATAGAACGTTGCCTCTCATTTATCATATGTGAAGAATTTAATTTATTACACCTGTTTGAGACTCCTCAGTGCACAAAAAAACATAACTTGAGAAATAAATAAATACGGAAATGTTATTGATCACCCCTCGATTATGTTCTCGTTAAGAAATGTATTCTCATAAATGATGCGGTAAACAGCAGGATAGAATTACTTTAAACTGACGCCGTTTGGCATTTCTATAGGTTGTAGATACGAGCATGGTTTTTTATAATATCACGTTTAATCATGTTTTATGCCGTTCGCCAATACTTGATAAGTCGCTCATAAAACACAGGAGGTATGGAAACTAAGAACACCATGTGTGGTAAATTGTACAGCTAACATAACACAACACATACGTTTTATTTCCTTTAACTGGTGGATATAGAGTTGCTGCAGTGGAGACGCTGCGCACAGCTGATTGACAGCTGGGATACAAACCACCAAATACAAAAAATAATTCAGATCCAGTCGTCATGACTCCACTCCGGAGGGATTCCCCGATCATTTCTTACAGTTTCTCATCAAGGGGGGGGTCTCCTGTCCCCGGGACAAACACACTGCCTGAGGAAGGCTATGTGTATTTTTTTTGTCATTAACCTTTTTCGGACCACTTATTTATTTATTTTGGTGGCGATCCGACCTCCATGCTGCTACTCTGGTTCAAACTGCATCCACCAAACAATATGATTTATCTGGACCTCCCAAAAATAACCTAAATCTGACACGGTGTGAGATGTCTTTTTTAGCTGTTCTGTCGTCATTTCCTGCGATCTTCTTCATGCAGTCAGTCAAAATGAATATTAATACGGGGCATTTCTTTTGACTATTTATAGGCAAATATGGGCGTTAGGTGAAGCCCGCAAAAGTTGCGCCGCATTTCGAGTTGATTGTGATTTATAAAGGCAAACCGGCGTAGGACGAGTGTGCGCAGTGTTTTATAAATCGGAATATTTTTGTGCGTATTTATTTGCTTTGTCCTATGTAAGCCACCTTCCCACGTGAATCCTACGCAAAGCTTTATAATGAGGCCCCAGGTGAATATTACATTTTACTCACAAGACTAATGGAGGCCTCCTGCAGAAGGAGGTAAGCACCGCTGTCGAAGCTGTCGGGTAGAGGGTGATACAGTTCACTCTCATGCAAACGCCAATAAGTGAGCCCTGAGACAGAGGGAAGAAACAAGTCTGATTCAAGTATTTTTTTTATTATTTTCTCTTATTATTTTTGGCAGTGATGGCCATCTTAATATGGACCATTTTAAAAAGAGAAATCTAGTGTGATTCTATTTGTTCTTACTGTCAATGAATTACATAGCCACTATAAATGCATCAGCTAACAAGTTTTGTCTCTGTAGTAAATAAAGCCTAATATAGCCTTCTGTTTATTCCACAAAAAGTATAGAGACTAGCTGTATTTTTATGACTTTCAGAGAACATATTTTACCTCTTTTAAAAGATTTACATCTTCAGTAAGAACTTAATGTATTTGGTGCTGAGAGCCACAGACCAAGTAATGAAGCCAAATTCATGGTTTACATTTTTTTCATGGGATTTGTTGACGATAAAATAAACATTTTTGTGCATTTTTTCAGGAAACAATAAAAAAAGTGAATTCATATTATTCCTCCAAATAAAGCCCTCAGTGGCACAACAGTGCCATCGTTCTGTCACTTGTGGTAATTACAACAAGGCTCCATCTTTAACACGTGTAATGTAATGTTATATCCTGTTTTGGTTCATTCTATCACATTCACATTGTCAGTGATTTTTTTAAATGGGCCGAGCTTTGATGTTGTGTGTTTTGTCTGAGTCAGGGAATTGTTACCTGATGCCTCAGACAGCAGGCTGTCACTCCTCCTCAGGGGGAAAAAGCTGGACGACAGCCCAGACGATTGTTGCTGCTGAAACTGAGTAAAGATAAGTGGATTAGATTCAGCGGAGGGAAAGTAATCAGACCAGCTACAACAAACACTACAGATGCAGGGCAGGGATTTTGTATCTGGTTCCACTTGTGAGTTGTACCTGCTCCTGGAAGTCTGAGCTCTCCAGAGGGATTTGTTTGTGGGCTTCTCTGTGCGGCTGCTCCTGGTACTCAAAGATTTGTGATGAATCTTGTTCTGCTTTGCTCTTCTTGGGCCTGAGTTTCTGCCTCTGGGCCCAGGAGGTCAAAGGCTGGCTGGTGCTGCCAATAGAAGAGGTTGTGTTTAGTATAGATATCATTTCTCAGTTTAAATGTTGCCTAAATCTAAACAGTGTTTGTGTTATATTTAGGAATTTTTTATTTATTTGTAATTCCAAAAGGAATGTTGTCATACAGGCCAAAGTATGGGGATATAACAGACAACCCTTAAGGAAAATATGTGCAATATCTTGGTGTTGCGCATCGTACAATATTCCTGGGTATAGGTTACGGTGTATATTGATTTGTGTGCATGGGCGTCGCAGCCATTATATGAGGGTGGGACAAGTCCCCCCCACCTTTTAAAATGATTAGTTTAGACCCCCCCACTTTTACTATCCACTCACCACTCAGTGCTTCATTATCAAATCCATTCCACTTGCTTATTGTGAGAATGCCCAAATCAATGAAACTCCGTACCATGTTTTCACTGCTACTTTGTTCACAATAAGCAAGTGGAATGGATTTGATAATGAAGCACTGAGTGGTGAGNCCTCAAAACACATATTTTCAACTCTGTCTACCCATAAGCCCCCCCCCTCTCAATCAACTTCCTCTTGACTGCCTTTTTTTGTTTATTTTATTTTACTATATTTACTTGTTTGCCTGTCCTTGTTTGTCTCCCCTCCCTCATACTGTAAAGCGTCTTTGAGTTGTGAAAAAGCGCTATATAAATAAAATGCATTATTATTATTATTCATGTTTTCAATACTTTGCATTTCACTTCTGGTTGAATGCTAAGTATTCTTGTAAGTTGCATACTGGAGAAAATCTCCCTCCAAAGTTGTCGTCATTTAAAAAATCCATAGGTTTTAGTCATACAGTCTATGGTTTTAGTACACATCCTAAGTTCATATATAAAATTAGCCCAGTGAGAACAGACTCTGCTCATACGTCATTCTGCACAGTGAAGGTCAAACATCCCGATGAGGTAACTGTATGTAAAACAATTTAATTGATTTTAACAGTGATTACAACAATTTTTGTATGGGTGTGTCACAACTGTTATAGTAAGTCCTGCTGTGAGAAGTGATTCTACATAACATTACATTCTCTTTTTTTCTACTACAGGGCCGATGGTTGCATCTGTTTCAGCTGGTTGAGAAGCAATACCAAGAGCAAATACTCGCTCAGCAAGAACAATACCAGTGCCAAATACAGGTAGGTCTGCGTTAGTCTTAGTTACTTACTATTGTGTAAAAATGTTTGTTCATGCAGTAAACCATGATATTCTTTTCCCAGTTGATTCAGGATGAAATCAAAGCTCTGGTTCAGCTCCAGAACCGCCAGGCCAGCCTCCAGCCACACACAGAGTTCTCTCTAACTTCGATGACCAAAACTACCCCAAACAAAAAGGATTATATTTTCCCCCTTATCTCCAATGACTGCACATTCTCCAAAAAAATTGCCAGTGACAATAACAGCCTGGCAGCCCCAGCCCTTACCACTTTTAGCTCCCCCTCACCTCCACTCCAGAGATCACAGACCGCCAACCAGGAGGGGGAGCGGGCGACCACAGTGCTCAGCAGCGGGTACGGGACTCTGTCTGCATGGGACACAGCTCTGGAACCTGTAGGGTTTCCGGGGGAAGATGAGGACGGTGTTCAAGGGAGGGACAAGCATCATTCGTCCCTTAACTTTATAGAATACACAGAGACTACTTTGATTGGGGGTCAGCAGGATTTTACTCATGTGATGACTTTCGGAGTGGATGAAACTAATCCATCACTCTACCAGCAGAACAACTCTGGGTAAGTTGAGGTTTTCTTTGGACAGACTAACCACAACTTCTTACGACATCATATTTACAGACATTGAAAAGTCTTTAAAAGCATTCAATTCAGTCTCTTCAAAAAAAGGCCTTTAAGGGTTTTGTATGGTTGTTTTAAATATTTGTATCAAGTGTGACATTAGCAATAATGTTAGTTGGGCGTTTTTTTAGTAAGAACCATCTTTAAAAATGCATAGTTATATTCTTTCTTGTATATACGGACTTTGAATTAATTAAGATAATATAAGAAAACATAAGCCTTTTAATATCCTTTAATTTTTGTCTTAGTTTTTTGGAGAGAATGCAGGTGATGAAGCAGAACCCAACCTCTCTATACATATAGGATCAAACTAGTCAACATTCAGGAGCACACACACAAACATGGGCGTAGGAAGCATCCTCAATGTGGGTGGGGCAATTTGACATGGGGTGTGGGCAAGTGGTGGACCTCACCTCGTCTAGTGGGGTCCGGGGACATGCTCCCCCAGGAAGATGATTTTTTTATATATTGAAGTTAAAAGCATCAATCTGCTGCACTTTGAGAGCAAAATTAGGGACTAAATCTATGGATACATCTCTCAACAACACCCATATGAAACAGAACTGTAAACAGATTTACTTTTTCTTTATGCATATTTTACAAATCACTGCCCTTTTAACCTGTATTTTTGTGTTGCTGTCCTATAGTATGAGTTGGAATTATTTCATACCTGTTATTCTCTTGATTTTATCATGATCATATAAAAGTGTGCCTTGGAAATACTTGTTTACATAAATGATTACCAAACCGTTTGAGACCCACTACTTAGACTAAAGTGAACTATCCAAACTCACTGAGCTGTAGTTATCAGCCTCTCAGTCTGACAGGAGAGGACTCTCCCTCCACCTCATTAATAACAGCGCCTTATATCCGGGTGCTAGTGGAGCACGCTCGTGAACTGTTAGCGCCAGAGCCTCGCAGCGTGGAAACTGTGGCGCGCATCATTTTACAACTAAAGACACAGCTACACAAAAAACGCAGCATGTGTACGGCTCTGAGAATCTGCCTTGGTACAAAGTAGCAGTGAAAACATGGTAGCCTACGGAATTTCATTGATTTGGGCATTCTCACAATAAGCAGGAATGGATTTGATAATGAAGCACTGACACAGCGCTCTACAGAGAGTGGCAAGTGGATAGACCGATGCACGGACTTTCCCCATAGTAAAAGTGGGGGGGTCTAAACTAATCATTTTAAAAGGTGGGGGGGACTTGTCCCACCCTCATATAATGGCTGAGACGCCCACGGGTGAAAGCGAAAACAGGCTATTTAAAATAGACTATACTCTACTCTTCATGCATAAATGCAGACAGACCCCAACATCTTTCAATATCAACATAGCCAGGGCTGGCATAATTAAGTAAATGAAAAACATGTCTACCTTTAGAAGAGTTGCAAGCGGCGAGTGTTGGTGCTGAACCTCAAGAGAATGGTGTTCTTCCATTCCGTTGTGCATTTTCTGGTTAAGTCTCTCTCAAACGCAAGTTGAACCAGCTGGGCATAGGCGGCGCGTGAGGCGGCTCAGGTTTGGG